CCCTGAATTTGTTTGTCAGGACGCCCAGTTCTCCTCCTACTCTGCCACCGCCTCTGCCTCCACCTCCGCCTCCGCCTCCTATGGAGTTTCCTCTCGACTGCACTGCATGGAATCAGAGCAAGACATGCCCAAACAATTATCCCATCAAATATGAACCCACGAATCTCGACCCTTCATCGAACACGACGTGCCCTGATTATTTTCGATGGATTCACGAAGATTTAAGGCACTGGAAAGGGACGGGGATCACAAGGGAGATGTTGGAGGGAGCAAGAAGGCATGCTCACTTCAGGCTGGTGATCCTGGACGGGAAGGTCTATGCAGAGAAGTACAGGGAATCAATCCAGACCAGAGCTTTGTTCACCATGTGGGGGATCGTACAACTCGCGAGATGGTACCCTGGAAGATTGCCTGATCTCGAGCTGTTGTTTGACTGCAATGATCGGCCGGTAATTCCATCAAAGGCCTTTCGTGGACCCAACGCTGGTCCTCCACCTTTGTTCCGGTATTGTTCGGATTGGTCGAATTTGGATATTGTCTTCCCAGATTGGTCATTTTGGGGCTGGTAATTCTTGAATAGTCCATTCTCAGTTGCCATCTCAAATTCAAATGTGCTAATAATTTTCTTTGTTCTGTTTTCTTGACCTTAATTTTGTGTGAGTTGGAAATTAGACAATGTGATGTGGTCAGTTAGTGTAATGCTTAAGAAAACTAGAAAAGTCAAAGTGGAGCTTGTATAAGTGGGCTCTTGTCAAGCCGCATGACCCGCATTAATTGAATCAAGAAACAGTAGAACTTGCACCAAGTGTGTAGTAGTATCAAACTATAATATTATAAAACAAATTTCGAGTTATTTCAATCTTGGCTAAATAAATTAAATTAAATTTTTATTGTATACAGCTATTTTAATTGTATTTTTCTTTTCCTATGAGAGTAAAATTTTTGATTAGGCAGATTAATTGGGAATTTTGTTTTTGAGGTAGGGCTGAGACGCACATAAGGCCATGGAGAAGTTTGTTGAAGGACATAAGAGAAGGCAACAAGAGGATCAAGTGGAAGGATAGGGTACCCTATGCGTATTGGAAAGGGAACCCTCATGTGGCTCCATGGAGGGGTGACCTCATGAGATGTAACGTTACAGAAAAGGAAGATTGGAATGCTCGTCTGTATGTCCAGGTACCGAATTGTTACTCAGTCTGATAGTGGCATTATGCAATGATTAAGGGTTTGATTAACTGAACTTGAATTTTTTTTTGTCAATCTCTGGTACATATGTATATATAGGGTCAACGAGTGCAAGTGAACACTCGTCAAGGCGAGTTCATCATTGAGAATTATTCATGTGTTAATTGTTTTTTTTTTTTTTTGAAAACGTAGAAATTAAGTTGAAAAAAGTGTATAAATTGGAAGAGGAAGTATAATTGTGAATCTATATATTCACATAGTAGTACACTAGAGTATTAATGAGAAAAAAATTAACCGTGTGTATGAATTGTAAGAGAAAGCATAATTATGAGTCTGTGTGTACAGGGTTAACGAGTGCAAGTGGGTAGTCGCTAATACGAGTTCAACGTTTGGAGTAAATTTAAAAACTGTATAAATTGTAAGAGAGAACATAATTGTGAATGTATGTATTTGCATGGTAATATATTAACGAGTGTTTTGTAAGCACCAAATATAAAAACCAACTAGTACAGTTCCGATTCTATAGGCACTCTGAACTTTTTATTAAGGAAAATGGGAAAAAAAAAAGAGAGAGAGAGAAAGGTTTCAAGTCAAACCAATCTCTTGTATCATTTCATGTCCTGTTCTGTTGTATAATGCAGATTAATGAACAGAGGCAACCATTTGGGCTTTTCTAATGTAGAAAGAGGACAACCATTGACGTCCAAATCAATTTTCTAACCAAATTCTATATTGTTTCTCTCAGGACTGGATCAAAGAAGGACAAACGGGATATAACCAATCAAATCTTGAAGACCAATGCACTCACAGGTGAATCTCAAAATCCTGAACGTTGAACTCACTCTGCATTTTCTTAAGAGTCTGTCTCTATCGGATTGAATGTTAATTGATTCTTCATAAGTATGTTTTACTTCAATTTGTATTTTATGTTATATAGCATCTCACTCCTATGTTTCAACTACATCCGGCTCGTCTTTGACCGTCGTTTAAAAGTTGAATGGAACTTCCCATAGCTGTTAAAAAAAAAATGCAACTATATGACTTTTATTTATATATAAAAAAAAAAAGAGATTTTTGAAGTCTTTTTCCTTTTTCGAATGATTGTATTGGTGACTATTTATAAAAATCCCTGCAAGTAACTTCCCGTCTGCAGGGCATGATGTGCTTATTCATGGTGGTGATCGGAATCGAATCCATCCAAATTTTTTTCTGGAAAAAAAAAAGAATACGTTACATAGTGCTATTGTTGTAAGCTTCTTTTCTGCAAGTAGCTTAATTTATTAGATCTAAACAATTGATAATGGGGTTTTTTTTTTCCATGTAATGCAGATACAAAATTTACATAGAAGGATGGGCATGGTCCGTGAGTGAAAAATACATCTTCGCATGCGACTCACCGGTGATGCTAATAACTCCCCGTTTCTATGATTTCTTTATAAGGGGCATGGTGCCGCAGCGCCACTATTGGCCAGTTAGGGACAATGATAAATGTAGATCTCTTAAATTTGCTGTTGAGTATGGCAACAATCACACAGAAAAGGTACACTTTTCCCCTCATATATAGTTTTGGAGATAGGTACTACTGCAATTAGAAGAAAATGAAAATGAAATTCTAATATGCCGCATAATCCCCTTTTAAGATCCACAAATAATATGAGTTAGGTAAGAGTTGAAAAGATTTTCATAAATATAGTAATAGAATAATTTTGTATCGTCAGTCAGTGTATATACTTAGAATTAATTTTTTTTTTTTTAACACGAACAGTTGCCATGACTGTCGTCAGCAAAAGTTGTAATTCAGATTCAAATTTAGATTTATTTTTTATGCATATAAATTCGCCAGTGCATGTATTGTCGGTGCAAGAAATATCAATCCATATAATTAGGCTAGTTTCTACACATGGAATATCAATTAACGCTTGGTTGCATGCATATACAGGCAGAGGCCATTGGAGCAGCAGGAGCCCGCTTTATACACGAGGATATGAAGATGGAATACGTTTATGACTACATATTCCATTTACTCAATGAATATGCGAAGCTCTTGAAGTTTAAGCCTACCATTCCTCCAAATGCAATGGAACTTTGTGCAGAAGCCCTGGCATGCCCTGCAGATGGAAGCTGGAGGAAGTTCATGGAAGAATCCTTGGAGAAATCTCCCAGTCTTCACACAAATCCTTGCACATTGCCTCCACCCTATAGCCCTGAAGCTCTAAAAGCTTTTAATGACGAAAAGTTTAAGTTAACCAAGGAAGTCGAGAACCGGGAAAATGAATACTGGGACAAGCTAACCAACCGTCAATGAGGTTTAGTTGTATGATTTGTCAGCTAATTTTTTGTTGATTTATATTTTTCTCCTGTTATTAATGACGATCAGATTAGTCATTCAATTATTTTGTACTAGTCTTAAATTATTTTTTGTATTTGCATAATCCAATCTGTCCTCCTCTCTTCTTTTCCTAATTTACTTCCAACTCTATCAATCTAGTCATCACATTAGGTTGTTCTAACATTGAAGCTAGTGAAGGTGCATGACGACCGAACAGTTAGGTTGTTCTTGAAAATTCGGGATTCGGTATTGACTTTTTGATGTCGCATTTACCTTTTTGCGACGTAGTATTCACTTGGAATAATTTACTTTTAATTTCCGTGAATAATTTGACTCGATAAATATTGAGACGCGTGGAAGTTTGGCATACTTCTAGATTTTGATCCAAGTAGGGCTGCCATTGAATCGAATCTAGTTCGAATGCTCGAGTTCGAGCTCGTTAAATTCTATAAAGTTGAGTTCGAGTTCAAATTCGAACTTATTTTACCTTGAATTTGACTAAATCGAACTCAGTCGAATTTAATCGAGATTAATAGTTAATTGAATTCAATCGAGTTTTCAACCTCAATTTTTTTTTAGTAAATTTCATAATTTTACAGTAAATAAGTAAAAATTATATTATAGATACACTACTCAATAAAACTCAACAGGTACTAGAGTTTTGATTTTTGCCACTCGAACTCGACTCGATTACCTTATTAAGTAGATCAAACTTGATTCAAACTCGATTAACACCAAGTTTAAGTCGAACATTTGACCAAGCTACTCGTGAACTCGAATCGAGTAGCATGATTAATTTACACCCCTAGTTCAAATTATCTTATATGATTTATGCAATACTTCTTCCATTCAATTGGAAAACTTATTTTACTCAAAAGGAGTTCTTAATGGCTTTCTCTTATTTGTTAATGGTATTTTCCTTGATAATTTATGTTAATTAGACAAAAATATCCTTCATTTCAGTAAATTTACAACAACCATTTAATGATATTGATTTTCATTCAAATGTGTTAAAGAAAAGGTCAATTATAGTGCCATTGACAAGCACCTTGTATCTTGGTTTCAAACCTTTCCTTTAAACTTATTCTAGATTTTCACTCTTTCTAAATGCTCATTAGAGTTAAACTACAATATTGCTCAATCAACCAATACATCATAGTATATACAAGTGCTCTGAATAAAAAGATTCAATTTGGATGCAATGTTGTATTGGTTCACAAAGAGTTGAACTCAAATAACTCCATTCACGATTACATTAATAAAAAGTAGGCAGTGAGAGCTGCTAGCGGACTGTCCTCCAATAAATTGTGATTGAATTTCTGGAGATTTTTGAAGAGTTTGCTTACCCTATAAGCCATAGTCCAGTACTACAATTTAGGGTATCACTCTAGACTACCCTATATATTATACAGCAAGGAAAGCAATTAATACTTCACCATATTCACCAACCTCCGTTCTATCAAGGACTTCCTCAACTGCAATTCATACACATTTTTTGTACGCATGCATGCACATCAAATTATCAATCGAGACCAGGGCTTTGTAATACTACATATCAGACACTTTTGTATCGGAATTACAGGGCTATAGGTTCACTAGAATTGTGGAATTCTTTCAAGTACAAGAAGCAGGAGGCTCGAGCATGAGTTTCCAGGATGAGAAGTTGAAGAATATCTTCTGGCTAAGGCCTGCATATCAAAGACACTCATGGGGAATAAAATTGCACCCGTTGAAAAATGGCTCTACTCTTACTCTGACCACCACTGCACTTCTTCTCCTCCTTTCTGTCTTAGTCGTTTCACTCTTAGGTTTGGCGGGTTGGATTCATCATTTTGTGAGTTTATATTTCTTCCCACTCAATTCCAACTTAACTAAAGTGTATCATTAAAAAACGTAATTTTAATGATGAAGTCTGCACCAATGACGGAAGTGTATCTTGCTCGTTGCAAAACTTATCTCATATACCTACATGATATATATATTTTTTCATTTTAGGTTTTAACTGTTCTAAAATTTTCATCATTTTCGAAAAGTCCACACTATAATTCTTATCAGCTTTCACTTGCATCATTACTTTGATTGTATATTTCGTGGTTTGAGGGTAGATTAATGAGGGATTGGATATATACTATTACAATCGGACGTACGTTTAATTATTGACTAAAATTTTCATGCATTTTTTGAAAAATTTTATTTACTTATGTGTTGATTAATTTTCAGGATGACTTTTCAAGCATTTCCTACGAAAATGCACTCAAATTGTTCGAGAAAACCACGAGATTCCATCCTCCTCCTCTTGAGCACCCTCTTGACTGCATTGCATGGGATCAGAAGAACAAGACGTGCTCAAGTAAATATCCCACCACTTACCAACCAATGAATGATCACTACCCTTCCTCAAATCCGACATGCCCAGATTATTTTCGGTGGATTCATGAAGATCTAAAGCCCTGGAAGGGGACAGGAATCACTTGGGATATGGTGGAGAGAGCAAGAGAGCCTGCACACTTTAGACTGGTGATCCTAGACGGGAAGGTCTATGTAGAGAAGATTAAGGAATCAATGCCAACCAGAGAATCATTCACTATGTGGGGAATTTTGCAGCTTCTGAGGCTGTACCCCGGAAGACTGCCTGATCTTGAATTGATGTTTGACTGTGACGATCGGCCGGTCATCCCATCCAAGGACTATCGTGGACCCAATGCTGGTCCTCCGGCTTTGTTCCGGTATTGCTCCGATTCACAGAATCTGGATATTGTCTTCCCAGATTGGACGTTTTGGGGCTGGTAATTCATTTACTCCACATTGAATTAATCTCCATATTTTCTTGTTCCAAAATCTTATAATGATGGTAATTAGTACTAATTCAGAGGGCCGCCAAAATTTGATCACTATATCAATTAATGAAGGAAGGATTTCTTGTCTGCCCATATTGACAAAATTTTCTGGTATTCTATCTGAAACGCTTGTACTAACAATAAAAGATTTTTTTTTGGTTGTAAAATATTGCGAGTATAGGAAGCTATGCTTTAAAAACAGGATAGGTTAAAACAAAAAGTTTTTTCCAGTAATACATGCAACTAACATCCAGCTATCTTTCTTCAATTGTGTACTTAGCTTTAATTTTGATTTCTAAGATAACGAGAAGAAGACTTTGCATGATTTCATTTTTAGGCAAAGGCTTTGTTAGTCAATGGCTTTTAAGGCCAAATTCAATTAATACTGAGATTTGTCCTCTTGGCAGACCAAGACTTTTCAGTGATTATATTTCTGCCCTTCTATGGTGTACAAGTATTGATGCAGTACTCATGCACATAAGGCATAACACAATCACTTGAAACTTTTTTCATTGAAGACTGGATCCTTATTCAGGTTTTAATCGAGCAGCATAACCCTCATTAATTCTATGTGTCAAAGAACGAAAATTCCAATTGTCATGTAGGGTAGGGTAGAACTAACTATGGAAAATCAAAGCCAAAGCATTAACTCCAATTGATACATAGGGCTGCTTGAAGTGTATAGGGTATCCAATTTTCTTTTTTCTCCAAGAGATCTTGGGGTTCAAAAAATGCGTGATTAAACAAATTCAAGTAAAAATTTCATCTTGGGTAGGCCTGAGACGAATATAAGGCCATGGAGAAATATCCTAAAGGACATTGAAGAAGGGAACAAGAAAATCAGATGGAAGGATAGAGAACCCTATGCTTATTGGAGAGGAAACCCGCATGTGGCTCCTTGGCGGGGCGAGCTTATGACATGCAACGTTACGGGCAAGGATGATTGGAATACTGGCTTATTTTTACAGGTAGGTACTTGCTTTTATTGAGGCATCTCATATTGAAAAAGTATAAGATTGAGAACAGATACTAAACACTATTTTTAGGTTGCATGACTATTTCAGTTTGGTTTGTTTGATGGAATGCTGTTTAAGTTGAGAACATTGCAGTACTTTTTTGGTCTTTCCTTTCCTCTTTTGGATCAAATGTGTACACCTATACTATTTCTACACCATACTATGGGAGAAGAAGGATCTTAATGCGGCTGTATAAAAGAACTGGAGGTTGACCTCTCTAAACCAAATAAGCGCACTGTTGTACCCTTTTAAATTTGTAAAAGAAAAGAAACTAAGCTGAGAACGTTGGAATACAAACTTGCTGTAAATCACCATCACATTTTCGACACCCTAATTGTAAATTCAATCTTGTCAGAAGTAGTACAAGTATTTTCAAGCCAGGGGAAGGAATTTTGTCAATACAAGGATCAAAGAGTATGGGCCAATCTAGTAGGCTTTAAGAAATTATGAAAGTTCATCTGCACATTTTTCAGGATTAGTATTGGGCTTAGACTGATCATCTTGTAACCAATGCCTTGTTTTTCAGAACTGGGAGGAAGAGGCAAGAACAGGATTCAACCATTCAAATGTTGCAGAACAATGCACCTATAGGTGAATCCTTCAGCTTCAGATGTTAACTCGTTCATATCTGACATTATTATTCTACATTCTAATCATTTTTAACACTACCCATAAATTATTTTGTGTAGTACTTACATTCTCTTTATGGTGCTGGAATTGCAGATACAAAATCTACATCGAAGGATATGGATGGTCAGTGAGCGAAAAGTACATTTTTGCATGCGACTCTGCAGTCTTGCTGATGACTCCTCGTTTCCATGACTTCTTCATAAGGGGCATGCTGCCACAGCGACATTATTGGCCCGTAAAGGACAATGACAAATGTAGATCTCTCAAGTTTGCGGTTGAGTTCGGAAACAATCATACAGAAAAGGTACTAGCTACCCTTCTTTCCAGGCCAAGAATATTTTTTGGACTTTTATCTTCAACTAGAAATGACATACTAATTTACTCAATCAAATAACAATGCTTGTCTGAAAAGCACTATATTCATACTGTATAAATTATAACGTACAAGGTCAAAGATTTTGATGGAAAATTAACTCTGCCAAATGCATTCGGATGTTTATGCAGGTAGAGGCCATGGGAGCAGCAGGGAGCCGCTTTATCCATGAGGGTATGAAGATGGAATATGTTTATGACTACATATTCCACTTACTAAATGAATATGGCAAGCTTTTGAGGTTTAAACCTACCATTCCTCCAAATGCGATTGAACTTTGTCCAGAATCCATGGCATGTCCTGCAGATCAAAATTGGAGAAGGTTCATGGAAGAATCTTTTGTAACATCTCCTAGCCATACGATTCCATGCACATTGCCTCCACCTTACGACCTTGAAGCCCTTAAAGCTTTCAATGATCTGAAGTTTAAGTTAACCAAGGAAGTGGAGAAGTGGGAAACTGAATACTGGGAAAAACTAATCAAGAATGAATAAGGCCTTCTCATTAGTCTGTCGGTTTCCTTACTAATTTTTTGTTAGTTTGGATCTTTATATGTACACTCAGGAAGTAACAAATTTAGTGAAAATGACTTTAGTCAGCCAATTATTCTTTTATCTTTTTCTTGTGGTCGAACTTCAAATTACGTAAGATTGTCAACTTTTATTCCTGTCTCATTAAATTTTAAAAACACCCAACATGCAGTGTTTGCAATATGAGAGACCATTGAATTAAGGAGGAGGGAGTAACAATATGTTACAATGAACTTCATGCATGCATTAGTACTTCTACGACAAAATAAGGAAAAAGAAATGCACTCTCATTCCTGTATTTGTTGGAAACTCGGTCAAGTTATTCACATCTCAGTATCCAAACCCCCTATAAACCAGGACAACTATCAGATTTTTAAGCAAATGGATCTATGATTGACCTCTCAGGTAAAAGACCCAATCATCACTCTACTTGTTTCCAAAATCTATCTCCAATGAACCCAACGACCTTTGATGAGAGCCACTTGATGACTCTCTTTTTTCAGGGGAAATTTTCGCAGTGAATCTTTTGCCCAACTTTCTATCTTAATTCTCACTCCCTGTGTCACCGTTGTATTACCATTTCTCATGCACAGACTTCCTATTTTCATTTTTCTTGTTTCTTTAAATTTCCATAGCTTCTAACGGGGTAAAAAAAAAAATGCAACAGGTTATAAAATCAATACATATATATATATAAAATAGTAGAAACATTGTATGGGATTGTGAGAGGATATGCCACATGGCATCCAATCCAATGATCTCGTAAAGTTAGTAGAGTATCTTGTCTCTTCCAAGAAAAAGAAGAAGCGGAGCTTATGTTCTTGTAGCTATCTATCACACCTCAAATCTTCAGGTGATTAGCACACTGAAGTTTCACCTTTGTTTACGGAAAGCATGTTACACTGGCCAATGGTCCATCAACTGTGACTGGAGTGCTTTAATCACAATTCGCACGCCACAACTCAATATACCAAAAGAAAAACCAAACAATTTGCATTGCCAACTTAGAGTCCAATCTTGCTGATGTCCCAAATGTGGAAGAAGGATCAAAGAGGATGATAATCAGACAGATTTTCATAGGACTAAGTCATGGAAACTGAGTCCACCTCGTTATATCGCTAAGAAGGTCTTTCTGCTGTTTATGGTATTATGATCGCATGGGACTAGAATGAGTTCCGGGATGTTAAGAGTGACAGATCTGCAGAGGAAAGGTGGGATCCAAAGGATTGGAATTGTATTTATTACAATCCTAGTTTTCTCTGCCATAGCAACTAAACGAATCAAAATTGTAAGTCTCCTTGAAGAACTTCTTGTCTTCATTTTCTCTTTTGACTGATTGAATGTTGTGTTCTTTTTCCCTCGCTACTTGTTGAATGACTTGAAATGATCTTTTCAAGAACGAAATTCTGATGATCGGGCCAAAAATGGTTCGGTAGTTCAGATTCTCCCCTCCAAACCTTTGACCAGTTATGATTCAGTATGTTGGACCTAAAATTTAGTATTTTGGATGCACCTCTATCAAAACTCTTTTGCATACTGCAAGCTAGGAATGTGGCAAACATATCAATTCATTAAGCTGTGATTAGCGAACAAAGTTGAATTGCTACACATGACTAATAATGCTCATTTTCAGTCCATTAATGCAGGTTCTGTCCCAAAAGAAATTCAAGAGACTCAAACCTATATAAAGTTTATAACAAAACCTGAATGCTTCCTGAATTGTTTGGAGAGTTTACCTTTGGCACAAAATGCTAACCATTCGGGTGTTGAGGAGGAGTGTCCAGAGTACTTTCAATGGATCCATGAAGATCTAAAACCATGGAGGGCCACTGGAATATCAAGGGAAATGGTAGAGAGAGGTAGAGTTCTAGCACATATAAGAGTAGTCATAGTTGGTGGGCGAGTGTATGTGGAGAACTACAAACGTGCCTTCCAAACAAGAGATGTCGTTACAGTGTGGGGTATATTGCAGCTTCTAAGGTTTTATCCTGGTAAATTACCAGACTTGGATCTAATGTTCGAGTGTGGTGACAAGCCAGTCATCCAAAAACAGGATTTTGAAGGATCTGAGGCCACGATTCCACCACCAATGTTTCATTACTGTGGAGATAATCAGACTTATGATATCGTTTTTCCTGACTGGTCCTTCTGGGGTTGGTAAACATTTTATCCTCTTTCAGTTAGTCTGATGAGAAACACAGAACATCAAATTTCATTATGTCAAGCACCTAATTTCATTATGTTCTTGATATGTCCTTGGACTTTTCAGGTCAGAAGTCAATATAAAGCCATGGGAGCTCCTGAAGAAGGATTTAAAAGAAAGCAGTGACAAAATTAAGTGGATGGACAGAGAGCCTAACGCTTACTGGAAGGGCAACACATTACTAGGTCCACAGAGACGTGGTCTTGTGAAATGCAATGTCTCAAAGAATAAGGAATGGAATACTCAAATCTATGATCTGGTAGAAAATGCTCTCTCTGTTATAACAGACTCGGGATCTCCATAATTATGTGCTATGAGATATTAGCAGGCAATTAGATGGTTAACATCAGAAAAATGTGAACGTCTGTCTCAGTATCTTTTTACCTCTTCAAGATGGAAAGGAACTAACTGCATAAACTTAAGGCAGAAAAAACCATAAGGAACCTCAAGAAGAAAAGAAATTAAGTCTAATAAGGAAGCAGCATTCAGACCACACTGCAGTCTATTGCTGCAAAAATCTGTCATGTAGTGTTTCAATTGTGTCCACACATTCAAGGATTGGATATTACTGAATATGAATTGCCCTGGGAATTACATTCAGTATACCTTGCCATTTAACTACACCGCACGGCAGGTGGCCAAAAAAATTTAGGGGTCTCCCATCGTGGTTCTATAATGAAGGAAACGAGCATACTAAGTCCACTTTACCAAGAATCACCAGCAAGCACAAGTAGTTACTACTAGAGATGTGATCATGCTTCCTCTAGTCACAGAATTGTTCTTTTGAATAACTGTCTTTTACAATCTCTTAGGCATTTAAATGATGGCAGGACTGGCGACGTGAGCGCAAAGAAGGCTTTAAAACTACAGATTTAGCAAGCCAATGTAGACACAGGTATTTGGTTTGCTAGCTTTTTTTTAACATTCTCGTCCTAACTATTCTTCATTTTCATTTTGTTTACTTGAAATTGCCTATGCAGGTACAAAATATATGTTGAAGGACATGCATGGTCTGTTAGTCAAAAGTATATATTAGCATGTGATTCTATGAGTTTGGTCATAGATCCCCACTATTATGATTTCTACTCCAGGGGTTTGCTGCCCACAGTTCACTATTGGCCAATTAGTGAGAATGACATGTGTGGGTCTATTAACAATGCTGTAAAGTGGGGGAACAAACACGCAAAACAGGTAACTTTTTTTCTAGCATTCCTTGTTGACTTCGTTGTTCATATGTTGATCCCTTGTGCCGGCCTCTGCCTGGTCGCCAGTTATTGAAAATATTTTTCCCATCCCATTGGTTCCAATGAATTCATTGATATATACGTAGTTTAATTAATTGCTCTAATTCTTAATTTAACTCCATATTTGGCTGATAATCAGGCACAAGAGATTGGAAAGGCAGGGAGCAGGTTTGTTCAGGAAAAGCTAATGATGAGACATGTTTATGACTATATGTTTCATGTCTTGTACCAATATGCAAAGCTCTTGAAATACCAGCCTACTGTTCCTAAAGGCGCAGTGGAAGTGTGCTCAGAGACATTGATCTGCAATTCGAAGGGATTAAGAAAGAAGTTTCGGTCATACTCCATGGTTACTAATCCTGCAGAGTCAAGCCCTTGCACCCTGCAACCTCACTTTGACCAGCAAAAAATTCAAGATCTTCTTAAAAGAAAAGAACATCTAAAGAAGCAAATTGAACCGTTTGAAGCTGGTGAAAATATCAGACGATAGTATTCTTGAACTGCTTAAGGTATTGTCTGGTAAAATTCTGAATATATATAAGCAGATCATTTTTTCCTCTTTTATGTCAAGACGTAGCAATTTATCTGCTGTTCAGATCTGTATGTATATCAAATGCAGCAATCTCATGCCTTTTTTAGAAGCAACCATCCATATTAATTGGCATGATGTTACAAGCATACATTTAACAGAGTTGAATGGTGTCAAGGGAACTGTTCCTTTCTTGGTTCACTAAAAGTAATGGCCTTTCATTATTTAAAGATGTTCCAACGTGCTCTTCTTCATAAAAGAAAAGAAAAGCCAGCCAGAGGGTGACCTTCAGCAAAGAATACAAATTGGAATTGAGAATCATATGTATTGCAATGATACAACCTTCTGGCCCGTTACATAATAATACACCTCTCCATATTACCTACTATATTTCAAGTTTCATCTAGATATGTTAGCTAATTTTGTTGATGGTGCAATATATTATCCATTTCTACTAAGTTTGAACTCTTCTTTGGCAGATATATTTTACTGCCAGTGAACTGCTACCAATACGCGGCATTTTGGGTGACGAGTTGTGTTTGGCAGATACTTCAGTAAACTATATGCACAAAGTTTTCATTTCGAATTCCATGGCCTGGAAGAAGAAAGAATGTAGTAGTTTTGTTTGCTTAAACTATTAGAAAGGGAACGAAAAAGAACTGAATTGTTTGAGTGGGAATGGGGGACAGATGTCTCCTTTCATTTGCATGGTCAAGAGGAGATATCTGCTGAGGAATTATTCAGCTCTTGTTCTTATTCTAGACAAGCGCAAGAAGCAAACTCTGTATTTGTTGGATGATCAATTAAAGAAGACCTCATAACATTGAAATAAAGCTTGCTTAGCTGCTTTGCAATTTTCTGAGACATGGTTTTGAAGGCTATTTGTGAATATTGGCTCATTCTCATATAGTCTTGTGCATTGAGAAGTAAGGAAACACCAAAGAATCTTCAAAGGAAAGTGTACGAGTCTTCGGTCATTATCAGGTTTCTAAAGCAGAAACATGCAAACTGTTTTTTGGGGGGTACTGTAAAAATCCAAAGTGCAGTATTGACAAAGAGGACGCCTCCTTTACTTGTAGGATTGATGAATGTGAAACATTCTTCCATTCTTTGATCATGACGAATTCCAAAGCATTGAATTTTACATTCTTTCTTCTAGACAGAAAGTTGAAAATGTAAAATCAGAATACAGCTCTTCTTATTCTCATAACTTCTACCATCTCCATCTACCATCTCCATGCAGTTTATTCAAATTTCTGATTCGTCTCCGATTATGTGGTTTGCTTTATATTAGTCGCTGCTACATGATAATGTAACTCAATTCGTTTGAATGGCATTTTGTAGGTTGCGACACATTTCATTGATACTACATGCAAAAGGGCAGAGAAAAATCTTGCGAGAGAAGAGGCATAGCGTCTGAAATAATTACAGGTCGAGGCTATAATTCAAAATAAGAACATTAGGCAACATACTCGGTAGGAGTACTGAAGTAAACTAAAGCAGCAGCAGAAAACAGAAATTTCTTGATTCACATTCATCACCATATTTTGTGACAGAGAAATGCACCAGTTATTCAGTTAACAACAATCAATGTCATGACTCATGAGCAATAAACACTCTACACATGTATATATCTAGTATCAAGTCAAAACAGATCAAGTTCCAACTAGTAGCTTACACAGCATACTCCACTAACACTAGATGTAATGTAACCTCTCTCAAGTCAGCCAAAACAAAAAGTAGCATTGTTGCTTCAGAGTTGAACTGAGGCTGAAGTCTAGTATTTCTTGCACCCCATCCAACAAACAAACAAGCGAATAGTAAATAGAAACTAAAATCGCGGTGCAAGTGAAATTGTTTGAGTATCTACAGAGCTCGTGATCTGATGACATCCAAGCTCATCTCACTAGGATCAGTAGCTTGCAACTCAACCTGAATACCATCTAATTCTCTCTTGAATCTATCTTTGGAGCTTGCGTAGACCATCTTAGCTCTGATCTTTGATGTGTCTGGAGACCTACAAAGTAAACAATTGCAGCAGTATGCGACTAAAATTGCATCCCAGTTATGAGAAACATAAGATGTGCAAAAGCATTATTCATGAGAACAATCACAGACTTCAGATAATAATTAGTCAACAAACCAGACCTACAATACTAAAATAAACACATAAACAAATTACAATTCATTGACTCGTCAAGATTACAACTAGGCCTATAAATGGTAAGATAAACACTAACGTGATTTAGACTAATTAACCCACAACTTGTGAGACCTTGAACCTCGGATTTTGATTGTTTCACCACAAGGTCAAGGTCCCACTGGTGGCTAGTGTTTGATAGTGAGCAATATGAAACAGTATCGCAGATTGTAGGAGTTATTGATATCTTGGAAAATACTGAAACTCAATTTTGGTCGGCTTTGTTTGGATAAGGAGACGTGTAGCTGAAAATTCTAAGTAGTAGTTTAGATGCAATGAAAGAAGTCAAGCAAATAATAATGAGAAAGGACTACCATGCTATGAAGTAAATCTTGCTTTTATGGCAGTTTTCTTCCGTTGTGAAATCGTAATCGAAAACAGCATATCGACACTGATCAGCTGGTAAGCTGTTAGTGAAATCTTCATAGGTTTCATCATGACTCCCGAGCTTCTCTATTGCCACTTGCTTGGATATATCATCGATCTTGAACACAATATACCTGTAGTTCCTCTTTGCTTTTAGCTCCAGGAATTTCAGCTTGCATTCATCATGAACAGCAATACCAGAGACCGAATTTGCCTAGCCAACATATTTTTCACAGATGAAGCAGTCTCATAAAATTAGCACGCATTCATCATTCAAACTATTACCAGAGAGGGTAAGGAAAGGAAAAATGTGGAAAGAAATATAGACCATCATCACATGGAATATGAACGCATAATATCTATCTGCATAAATTAACCTTCCAATGACAAATTTCAACTCCCTACATGATGTCTAACTCCGAGAACCTTTGGCCACCCCGTTTTCTTTAGAAATTATGTACACTTGACAATAACTGCTTTAGGGGTCTAGAGGGGCAAGAAGCTCAGTGCCATCGATTTACACAGCATTGCATACGTTGTATACACCAGTTGAATAACAGATTGTACAAAGAAATGCAAATTGTAACCCTACTTATTTACAAATTCTGAATCTTTAAACAGATAATGACCCTTAACCTTCCCATGTAATTACTTCTGGCAATCACTGAGCCCTCTGTCCTATCTTAAGCCAGAGGTACAAAAAAAGTAATGTACCCTGACAGTGCCCAGACAGTGCACCAAAACAACCAAACATGACAAATAAGATTAAAAAAAATGCCTTTTTGTTTTTTAGTGTAAGTGAGCGATCTCGAATTGTTACAGTATAAAGACAAGACCTTTCATTTATACTTCTTCTCCTCCATATCACTCAACTCATTCTTCCCCTAGAAAAAAAAGCATCTTAATACCGTGCAGTGTAAACAGAATGAAAAAAAAATGTCACGTCTTGTGTTCCACGTTAGAAAATAATACCTCCTTAGATGGTTATAAAAAATTTAGGTGAAACATTTTGAATTCAATGATTTATGCTTAAAAAGTTATTTGACTAGCCTAGGGGCTGAAGTATTGGGAAAAAAAAAACCTCAATATCCTGTAGTTTAAGAAAAAATTAGAGAACCAGACAAAGTCCTGCGGCTACAAGGTTTTTTTATCGTTAAGTAAGAGATTGTAAGGAGAACGGAGGATCAATCATGTCATTTGCACGTCTCACCATGCATATGCAATCAAAATTTGTTTCTACAATTTTAGAAAAGATGGAAAACATACTCACAATGGATGATGCATTTTGTAAATGTAGTACGGGCTTACCATTTTGTTCTCTTCAATGTGAGATGAAGCTCCAATGAGAATGAACAAAGGCAAAGTGGAGAAGAGAGAAACAGGAAGATGTCAGAGGGAAACCAAGTCTCTTGTCTTGGTCCTGGGGTGTATGCCTCATTTTGGATTTGCTCAGGTGTTACTTAGGAAGTATTCCAAGGGATGAGAGACATTTTAGGGGGTATACCGGAAAATTAAGGGTGTGTATCTCCTTGAAACTCTGGTCCTCATCTTTCAATTCAACATATTTGACAGCCACAAGTTTAAAACTAATTCACAAAACCCACTCTTGTATTTTACCTTTACCTGAAGGAAAATTTTTTGACAAAGAAAAAACTTAAGTAGAATTTGTAATTAATTACTCCTATAATAATGAGAGGGATTTGGGTAAGGGGGCACTCATTAAAGCGTTATGTTTTAATTTTTTTTTTTGTAACAAAAATTTAGACTTGTTACCCTATTCCCACAATAAAATGTAGTAATAAAACGAAAGTCCTATGCAAAATATTTCTTTCATACAGGTAAAATTGCTTCCAAGAAACGGAAAGGATACAAGTAAACTCGTTTCTTGTGCAACTAAACCGTAACCGTAGGGAGACAACTTCATGGAGAAGACAAGTCTTGACTCTTGGGCGATGTTGGCCCATAAGCCGTGGAGTTGCTGCACCGAGTTTTATCCATGAGAATCTTCCTGGGATATCTCCAACTTTTCCTGGCACATCTTATTGTCTACGTTTTAAAAAATTCAGACTTTTCTGAAAATATCGTTAGCAGGTGCGTAGGCATTCATTTGAACCGGTAATAATTTAATTCCCTTCGGATTATCCTTGGGTTTCTTTAGATCTCTTCTCCCCCTCGTATAAAGTAACGGAGGTCTATCGTATCTAATTAAAAAAAAAAAATCTCCATCTTTTCTGTTTGCCTGATTAAAAAAAATCCTCTGGGGTTGGTTTAGATACTTCCAAAAAGGTGGATCAGTCAAAGAATAGGACAGCATGTGAATTATGTGTATGACATCTCTATGCTAGTAGTACTTTATAGTTTCTGGTGAGTGAAGTAAATTAAATACACGTTTGGTTTCCTGAAATGGTTATCCTTTTTGCTTTGGTCCCCTTCTAAAGTTTTAAATTAATCAAAGGTTCCCTTTCCAGCTCCTGTTAAATTAAATGTTAATGCCTTGAGATTGAATTCAAACCTGAACAGCTGAACCCCTCATCCTTCAGCTACCCTTCTTGTCACTAGAATTCTATACTTACCTGCAACTGTTCATCTTAGATTTCTGAATTCCAAATGAAGCAATTTAGTCAGATGATTCTTCGAAGGAATCCCTTTTAGGTAGTAGCACTTTTGATTCATATACATACATGTTAATTAATAATTACATCTATTGCATGTGCAACTATATATAGGCCAGTCGTGCGAGAACCTTTTGTATACCTTTCGGAATATACTGCAATAGAAATTCACTTGGGAGAAAGATAGCAAGTGTTTTTAAGGTTCCCATCTTAATCAGTATTTAGCTATACTAGAGGTAAAGAGTAAAGAGCCATTTTTTTTGCATGTCTAAATATTATGTGTTTGGATTGCATTTTTCGTGATTTTTCATGGAAAAATTACTGTAGCGATTTGATGTATGTGAGAGAAAAAGGTAATAGGGAAATGTGATCACGGAAAATGACGTAATTTTTCGACGGAAACGGCAATCCAAACAACCAGGTTAAAGATTCAGTTTTGAACACATCAATTGTCTTTGAAAGCAGCAGCAGAAGAAGAAGAAGAAGAAGAAGAAGAAGAATTCAGGGTTGTTTTCAGGACCTAACCTTTTCCAGGGCCTGGGACCGGCGAGACAGGGCAGGTCACTTTTGTACCACTAAAAATCTGCACTAACGACACTGGAAAATTCCATTGGTTCTCAAGCCAAGCCAGGGGGGGATGCATCATATTCA